TCCTCATCACACCGTCCTGCGTCCCAGGCGGCTGGCTTGGGACAACGCTGGCTCCGGCGAGCTGGCCGGGCTCCAGGGTGCCTGTGAGGAGGGGCCGCGGGCGGGCAGCCTGGGGGCCCGGGCTCCCTCAGCTCCCTCCCTGCAGCGCCGACGCTGTGGGGTTCCTGTCCTGACCCTCAGGCTCCATCACGGTCGCCAGGAAAGGCTCTGCTCAGCCTTGGCTGCCGCTGCGTCCTCCCAGGGAGGCGTGGGGGCTGCCGAGAGGGATGGAGGGCAGCAGGAGCCATGTCCATGGCCCGGAGGACGGCTCGGCGGGGCCTGTGTCTCAGGAATGACGGCTCAGGCTGCCTCCCTCAAAGACGGATGGTTCCCAGGAGCCGGCTCGCCCGGCGGGGGACTGGCCAGCGGGACGCTCGGGGCGGGGGTCCGGGCTGGTCCTGACAGTGTCTTCTGCCTGGAAAGCCTTCTTTGCCTCTGACTGGCCAGGCGTGGCCCACCCGCCCTGTGAAGACGAGAGCCACGCCCCTCCAAGCAGCCCGGGTTAGAGAGTCACCGGTGCTCTAGCCCAGCCGGACACATGGGGGGCCGCGCCCAGGCTCAGGGCCGGGGGCAGACCTCCTGGGGGGCTCACCTTCCCCCGGCCAGGCTGCCGGCGGCGAGGAGAGGCTGTGTGGGGGCAGCAGGTGGCACCGTGCTGCTGGCAGGGCCGGGTTGCTCTCCTGTCCATGGCTGGCTGGTCCCGTCACTCACCTCCCCGGTCCCGGTCCCGGCAGGGACATAGCCTCTTCCCGGACCATCACCGTCACCACCACGTCCACGCGGAGAAGGGAAAGGCGAAGCCTCGGCCTGCACCTCTGCCCGGAGGCCTGCGTCCTGGAGCCTTTGCCTGCAGGTTGGCAGGAGCGAGCTAACGCCAAGCCGGGTGCCAGGCCAGGGAGGAGGCGGGAGGGAGATGGGAGGGGAAGGAGGAGGGTGTGGGGAGGGGGATGAGGAGGGCTGAGGAGAGGACAGAGAGGTAGTGGGGAAGGGAAGGGGAGGAGACAGGGAGGAGAATGGGGAGTGGGACGTAGGACTCGGACGGGGAGGGGGACAGGACGGAGACAGGACAGCAAGGCACCCTCTCCTCGGGAAGGGCCAGGTAATGAGGTCACCGGTGCCGGTCTCACAGCACCAAGCCCTCGGGGCCAGACACTGGCCCAGTAAAGTGTCCTTGGCCCGGATCACAGTGCGTCCTGGGCAGGGGGGGGGGGGGGCAGGAGGGCCTGGAGCAGACGGTGAAGGGAGGAACAGCGAAGGGAGGAACGGCGCTGGAGGGGAGTGAAGGTGAGTGAGTGCCCTTGGCCCAGCAGAGCAGCCGTCCTGGAGGCCGGAGGCTGGAGGCCGGTGGCCCAGGAGGCCGGAGGCTGGAGGCCGGGGTTCCGGAGGCCAGAGGCCGGGGCCCGGGAGGTCGGAGGCTGGAGGCCAGGGTCCGGGAGGCCGGAGTCCCGGAGGCCGGAGTCCCGGAGGCCGGGGCCCGGGAGGCTGGAGGCTGGAGGCCGGAGTCCCGGAGGCCGGGGCCCGATGGTCGGGGAGAAAAGGGAGCAGCGAGTCTCTGGGGCCTAGTTCTGCAGCGGGCACTCTTAAAGGAGCTGGGACAGGTCACGTCTCAGACAGAAAGGAAGCCAGGCCTCCCCGGACACCTGGGGGAGGGGGGAGGCTGCGGGCGGAAGGACAGAGGGACGCTGCGCTGGGCCGAGGCCTGTGGGGACCCCTCCACACCCGGCCGCACTCTCCCCAGCAGCTGGAGCCGGGGCGGGACACCTTAAAGGGAAATTGTCGCAAAAAGCTGGACTCTGCGGTCACTGGCCCATGGGGGGCGCCAGCCGTTCCAGCCCAGACCGGGGCGAGGCCGCCCCGCCCCAGGGGAACTCCCTCCCCCCCCCCCCCCCCCCCCCCCCGTGGTCCTCCTTCCCCGCAGGGACCTGTCTGCAGAGGATCTTCCTTCTGCTAAAACCTCCCGCACAGGGAGGGCCGCCATGATCACCCCGAGGGGGCGGGGAGAGGGCGGGGAACTAAAGGCCGAGGTCCTGATCCTGACACGCAGACGTGTGCACGTCACTCTCCCCCGGAGACGTGTGCACCGCCCGTCGGCCTCTCCTGTTCCAACCTGCCCGCCCGGCCCCCGCCCGGCCCCTGCCCGCCCCCCCCACCCCCCACCCCCGGCCCCCGCATTCCCGGCCCCAGGAGGCCGAGCCACAGCACCATTTCTGTAAGAAACGACTTTGCCCTGGCTGGTGTGGCTCAGTGGACAGAGCGTTGGCCCGAGGACTGGAGGGTCCCGGGTCGATTCCAGTCAAGGGCACGTGCCCGGGTTATGGGCTCATCCCCAGTAGCGGGGGCAGGAGGCAGCCGATCCACATGACAGGCTGTGGGCTTGATCCCCACTGTGAGGCGTGCAGGAGGCAGCCGATCCACGATTCTCTCTCATCATGGATGTTTCTCTCTCTCCCTTCCTCTCTGAAATCAATTTAAAAAATTAAAAAAAAAACAAAAACCAGGCAGCCAGGCATGCCTGTTCCTGCTCCCCCAAACTCCAGCTTCTCACAAGGTCTCCCCCCCTGCACCCCCCGCTGAGCACTGCAGGGGACGCACAGACACGCCGTGCTCCGTCACAGAGGGAGTCCGGTCACAGAGGGAATGGGGACGAGGACAATCCAGACGGCCCCACCTGCCCCTTCCCACGTCCTCACCGCCCTCCACCCCTCGCCTCTGTCTTCCCAGGAGGTCCCGAATCCATACCCGCCCTCACCCAAAAAAAACGCTGCCTCGCCCTGAACTGCCGCCTGCGGGTGCCAGCCCACGGCCCTCGGTGGACAAAGCAGGGGCACGGGAAGCACCCCCACACCCTCCTTGCCCCTGGACGGTCCCTCGTGGGCCCAGAACGTGGCTCAGAGATGCCGCACCGCCTGGCACGCACCCGTTTCCGCTTTGTCAGCGAACAGAGGCGGCCGCCGTCACAGTGAGAGATTTATTTCACAGTCGGAGGCATAGACACTGGGCACGCGACCAGCACCGGCCACGTCCCCGCCTGGAGCCCGGACGGTCGCCATTTCCATCGGGGACTCCGGGCCACGCGGGCCACGACGTGGGCGCACACGCAGACAGGCCCGGGTCACAGACAGCTGTACCGACCGCGAGCCCGGTTCTCGTACAAATACCAAACAACAAAGCATCAAACACTTCCTCTCAGCGACAGGCGCTCCCTCACACTCACAGGCCGGAGCAGCGGCTGAGGTCGGAGTTCACAGTGGAGGTCACCGGCGTGGCCCAGAGGGTGGCCTTTGGGAGCCACAAGGACAGGGACAGCCACAGGGACACGCTCGTCCAGGGAGCTGGACACAGGCCAGATGCGTGCCCATCAACAGGCTTTTCCCAGATGCTTCTCTCGGCTTCCAAAGCTCTATTTCCAACGGAATGTTCCAGAACCCAGACCGAAGCCAGACCAGGGAACTGCAGCTGCAGGTCCGTCCAGGCGAGGAGACGGCTCTGCAGTGATGGCTCGGGCTCAGCAAACGCCCCTCCCCGCGCCCAGGCTGGGCAGAGGTGTCCTGGCCCTGCCGGCCGCCATGCAGACGGGCATGTCCCAGGGCGGCCGCCGCGGTGGCTGGTGTCCCTCCAGCCGCTGTGTGAGCTGCCCATACTCAGCCCCCGTCCGCTGGGCCAGTTCTTTCCGCTGCTCAGACCACGGGGTCCCCGAGCACAGGCGGAGGGGAGGGCCGTGGAGGCAGTGTCCGGTCCATCCCCGGGCACAGGCGGAGGGGAGGGCCGTGGGGGTGGCGTCCGGTCCGTCCCCGGGCACAGGCAGAGGGGAGGGCCGTGGAGGCGGTGTCCGGTCCGTCCCCGGGCACAGGCGGAGGGGAGGGCCGTGGGGGTGGCGTCCGGTCCGTCCCCGGGCACAGAGGGGAGGGCCGTGGGGGCGGCGTCCGGTCCGTCCCCGGGCATGGAGGGGAGGGCCGTGGGGGCGGCGTCCGGTCCGTCCCCGGGCACAGGCGGAGGGGAGGGCCGTGGGGGTGGCGGCCGGTCCGTCCCCGGGCACGGAGGGGAGGCCCGTGGGGGCGGCGTCTGGTCTGTCCCCGGGCACGGAGGGGAGGCCCGTGGGGGCGGCGTCCGGTCCGTCCTGCGGGAGGTGAGCTGGGCAGGGACAGCTGCTCTCCTCTGAGAAGACCCGGTGCTGAGCCGGGCCGGCGGCTGGCAAAGTGGCTCGGCCGGAACCAGGCGGCTCGCTCTCCGGGCGGCGAGGAAACCGCCTGAACGGCGTGGAGGTGCCCTGCCTTCCGGACGCATCCCCGTCCCCGTCTTCTCCCCAAACCCGACCCGGGCTCGCCTCCGAGGGGCACCAGCCACCACGCACGCCTGCTGATCACTCACCCCCGCTCCCCTCGCCCCCTGCAGGCCGCTCGGAGCACTCCAGCCCCACCAGGTCTGAAACGCCGTGGCTTCCTGTCGCCTCCCGCACAGCAAGGCCGTGTCCCGGACGAGGGCTCATCCAGCAAGTCTCTCCCGAAAGGAAACGGCAGGCCCTCTCGGCAGTAACGAGCCCTCCGCGGGGTCCCTGCCGCCGGCCCGGTCAGTGCCCGGCTGCCCCTGCCCGTCTTCCCCGGGCCGGCGGGCGCTCCAGGACCGGGGACCGCGGCCGGATGCAGGGCTGGAGGACGGGCCTCGACCCTGTGAGGGGATCCAGAGGCACACAGGGCTCGGTCAGGGGGCCTGGTCACCCGCGCGCTCGGGGCCGATGCAGGGGTGCTCCTGGCCCAGAGGACGGGGCAGGGGCGGAGGAGACGCGATCCTGGCCGTACCCCACCCCGCCCTGCGGGGAATCCCAGCATCGGCGGGTCCCGAGGCCAGACGGGGTGGAGCAGGCTGGGGCCCGTGGGTCAGCTGCCCCCCCACCCCCCCTGGGAGCCGCACGGCTGGAGGCCGGGCCGTGGCCGTCCTCGGGGCGCCCGGGCCCCGGCCGCCGGTCAGCACTGGCCCTGGACGGGCTGGGCCGTGTCGAAGGGCAGGCTGGCGGGGGCCGCGGGCGGCAGGGCGGGCAGGCTGGCCTCGGGCGGCTGGTCTGCGGGCGGCTGCTGGCTCTGGTGCCGCTTCCGCAGCATCTGCCCGATGCCCATCATGGGGAAGCGGCCGCGGCTCTTCCCACAGCCGGGGCTCCCCAGGGGCTGGGGGGCGCCCGCCCCGGGACCCAGGCCCCCCTCTCTCGGGGGACCGTTCTCTTCGTGCGCGAAGGAGGCCAGCGTGGGGTGCAGGGGAGTCTGCAGGGGGGGCGGGCTCCCGGGCGGCAGGGCGGGGGACAGCGCCCGCTCCCCGCGGGGGGCGGGGGGCAGCGGGTCCGGCGGGTTCTCCCGGGGGGCGAGGCGGCCGCCCCCGGGGCCCTGTGGCGGGGGCTCCGGCTTCCTGGCACCCCGGGGGGTCCGGGGCGGGGGGCCGGGGATGAACTCCGTGGAGGAGGCCAGGCGGCTGGGGTCCGAGGCTTTGCGGAAGAGGCTGCGGCAGCTGAAGGAATCTGCACACGGAGGGAGAGACGGGCACCGTGAGGGGAGGGCGGAGGGGGCGGTGCCAGGCGGCCGGGCGGGCGCGGCCGGGCAGCGGCACCCACCTCGGTCGGGCGGGCCGGGCCGGGCAGGCTGGCGGGTGCGCGCGCTCGGCAGCTGCGCGGCGGGCGAGGCGGGCGGCGGCCGGGGGCCCGGCCGGGGGAGGCCCCCCCTCTTCTCCTGCTCCTTGGGCTTCCTGTCCTGCCGGTCAGAAGCGGACGCACTGAGCCGCACACGGCCCGGGGCGGTTCCCGTGGGAGGGCCATCGGGGACGGCGACCCCGCTCCCCAAACCGGGCCTGGCCAGCTGCTCCAGCCGGCCAAGGTCACCCGGGGAGGTCAATTATTCTAGAACAATCCGGGCGGACTAAGGCAAAGCAGAGGGGCCTCTGGGACCCCCATCCCACTGAGAGCGAGCCCCGGGCTCTGCCCCCCAGCGGCTCTGCAGGGACGGGCCCTGCGTCCGGGCGGAGGCCGTGGTGAGAAGGGAGCAGGGCCGGGAGTGTCTGACGCGGGGAAATGGCCATCGTGTCCTGAACCTGCCTCCGCGGAGCCATCTCTGCCCCCGAGTCTCCAGAAACCCCTCTGGGGCCTGGGGCGAGGACTCCGGCCGGGAACGGGGCGTCCCCGTGCCATTCCACCTAACGGGCCGGAGAGGTCAAGTACGAACACGTTCACGCCGGGTCACCTTATCCAAGTTCCTGGCATTTTAAAGGTGAGGCTTCTGAGCGAAGGGGGACTGGCCAGGGTGCTGGCAGGGGCAGAGCCCAGACGGGGGGCAGGGTCCCGCCAGCCCTGGGGCACCGTGAGGGCAGGTCCGCTGTCGGGGACCCGGGCTCCGTCACGCCGCTCGGAGGGGGGGATTCTGGCGGAGGAGGGACGTGGAGAGCAGCAGCCTCAGTGCGGAGGGTCACCCTGCACCCCGGGCCTGAACTGTCAGGAAGGAGGGGAGGGGGAGACGGAGGGCCTGGGGGAGGGGGTCTGCGTCCAGAGGCTGTGGACTGAACCTCCCGGGTGCCCGCCCCCCCCCACACACACACACGCGGTTCCTGCTATTTCCCCGGAGGCTCCAGCGATCCTCCCGACCCCACGTTCTCACCTGCACCGCGCGGAGCTCCGGGTCCCGTGGCCACGTGTCCAGGGAGGCCTGTGGGAAGCCACACCATCAGCCATCCATCCACAAAGCTGCACCTGCTGCTCATTCCTGCAGCTACCTACCCTCGCCCCTGCCCTGCCCCCCTATCCCGCCCCCTGGCCCTCTATCCACCCCCTTCCACCTGCCCCTCTATCCCGCCCCCTGCCCCTCTATCCCGCCCCCTGGCCCTCTATCCCACCCCCTACCACCTGCCCCTCTACCCACCCCCTGCCCCTCTATCCCGCCCCCTGGCCCTCTATCCACCCCCTTCCACCTGCCCCTCTATCCCGCCCCCTGTCCCTCTATCCCGCCCCCTGCCCCTCTCCCCCACCGGCCCTACCTCACCACCACCCTCTCCCCTGCCCCCCCACCCCCCCCGGAAGTTATTCCCTCCAACGATCACACAGAAACCAAACCCCCGTCACCCTGGACGGCTGCAGGTGCCCTCCTTTCCCGTGCCCTCCTTTCCCGGCTCCTCCTGTGTCCGAGGTGCATGGGCGTCTGTCCCGGCTCCTCCTGTGTCCGAGGTGCATGGGCGTCTGGAGACGCCTAAGCAGGTCAGTGCCTTCCTCAGACAGCGAGGCCTCCCGGGGATGCTGCCAGCCCAGCAACAACACCCAGGACACCGGGCTGCTGCCCAGCCCGGCGCCGGGCCCCATGGTGACTGCCGCCAACTGCCCACCCGCAGCACGGCCGACCCAGGAACTTCGTGTTCAGGCGTCAGAGACTTTGGAATGAGACCCGTCGTGGACGTTTCGTCCTTCACCCCGTCCCCGTTAGGGCCGAACGAGACAGGGCTCCACGCCCTCGGCGGGACCCTAACCCCAGGCCCTCGCCATGGGGCTCGTGGAGAGGGTCAGGGTTAGCCCGCGTCCCCGTGAGCCTGAGGGCAGGGGCCGGCAGTGTTCCCTGACAATCAATTTAAAATGAGGCCACTCTGCCGAAACCGGTATGGCTCAGTGGATAGAGCGTCGGCCTGCGGACTGAGGGTCCCAGGTTCGATTCCGGTCAAGGGCATGGACCTTGGTTGCAGGCACATCCCCTATGGGGGGTGTGCAGGAGGCGGCTGATTGGTGTTTCTCTCTCATGGATGGTTCTAGCTCTCTATTCCTCTCCCTTCCTCTCTGTGAAAAATCAATAAAATATATATTTTTAAAAATAAAATAAAAGGCTGAAACCGGTTTGGCTCAGTGGTAGAGCGTCGGTCTGTGGACTGAAGGGTCCTGGGTTCGATTCCGGTCAAGGGCATGTACCTTGGCTGCGGGCACATCCCCAGTGGGGAGTGTGCAGGAGGCAGCTGGTCGATGTTTCTCTCTCAACATTTCTAGCTCTCTATCTCTCTCCCTTCCTGTCTGTAAAATATCAATAAAATATATTTCAAAAAAGTAAATAAATAAAATAAAATAAAATAAAAGTGTGCTACAGCCATAGCTGGTTTGGTTCAGCGGATTGAGCGTCGGCCTGTGGAATCCTGACCGCACCCCAGCACCCCAGAGTGGACGGACGGCGGGTGGGGGTGGGGGTGTGGCTGGGCACCGCGGTCTACGTGCCTGCGTCCGATGCTCGGCCACAGCTGAGAAGGGGTTGGTGTCCGGTGGAAACCCTCCTTTACCTCCTCCCCTGCCCCCATCTCCCTCCGCCCCCCCCGCCCCCCCCCCCCCCCCCCCGCCTGCATCCAGGGAAGGCCTCACCTCGCAGGGCTCCCGGCCGGGCCAGCTCCGGTCCCCGGGGCAGAGCGGGGCCTTGGAGCCGATGCTGTCCTGCACGTCGGGTTTCTAAAGAGAAGAGGAAGCCACGCTGACCACGGAGACGCCGCGTCCGTGAGGCCGGCATTCGTGTTCAAACGTGGCGGGGCCATCCCAGGCGCCGCCGGAGCCGCCCGGCCCGGCCACGCGGCCTCACCCCGGACAGGCGGCGCTCCAGCTTCTTGCAGAGGAGCACGTACACGGCCAGGACGTGGCAGGCGCGGTTGGCCAGGACCGTGTTGACGACGTCGCTGTTCTTGTAGCCCAGCCGCTGGGTCATGTGCAGCACCACGCTGGGGCTCAGGTCAGCCAGCGAGATCCTGCGGGGCGGGCCGCGTCAGCTCCCCGACCCCAACCCAGGCCCCGGAGGGGGGCCCAGACACGGGGACAGTCCACCCAGGCCCAGAGGGACCCAGACACGGGGACAGTCCACCGAGGCCCGGAGGGGGGCCCAGACACGGGGACAGTCCACCAAGGCCCAGAGGGACCCAGACACGGGGACAGTCCACCGAGGCCCAGAGGGACCCAGACACGGGGACAGTCCACCGAGGCCCAGAGGGGGACCCAGACACGGGGACAGTCCACCCAGGCCCAGAGGGACCCAGACACGGGGACAGTCCACCGAGGCCCCGGAGGGGGACCCAGACACGGGGACAGTCCACCGAGGCCCCGGAGAGGGACCCAGACACGGGGACAGTCCACCGAGGCCCCGGAGAGGGACCCAGACACGGGGACAGTCCACTGAGGCCCAGAGGGGGACCCAGGCACGGGGACAGTCCACCGAGGCCCCAGAGAGGGACCCAGACACAGGAGACAGTCCACCGAGGCCCCGGAGGGGGACCCAGACACAGGGGACAGTCCACCGAGGCCCAGAGAGGGACCCAGACACAGGGGACAGTCCACTGAGGCCCAGAGAGGACCCAGACACAGGGGACAACCCCGTGGTCATTCACCTGACTTCCCATTAGGGAAAGGCCACACAGACAGAGCTGAAGGGGATGGTGAGCTACCCTAACCGCCCATGTGCCATGCTGGGGAGGAGGTGGGCGGTGCCTACCTGCTGGGAAGTGGTGGGCGGGGCCTACCTGCAGGAGGTGGTGGGCAGGTTACCTGTTTGGGAGGTGGTGGGCGGGGCCTACCTGCTGGGGAGGGGCAGGGGCAGGGGCAGGGGCAGGGGCAGGGTTACGGAGGCCCACCTGTTGGGGTAGGTGACCCAGGGCACCCGGCCCGTGTGGCTCTCGTGCAGCCAGCGGTTGGCCAGCGCCTGCTGGATGCTGGGCCTCTTCACGGGGTCCGGCTCCAGCAGGGAGCGCAGGAAGCTGACGGCTCCTGCGGAGACATGGGCCCAGACACCGTTACCGGAGAGGAGACCCTCGGAGGCTCGGGCAGGGCCTGCCGGTCAGTGACTCTCCATCACTGGTGTTTCTCTCTCCCACCTCCTCTCTGAGATCAATTAAAATATTTTTAAAGAGAGAAAGCGGGGCTCATTGTGATGCCAGGACCAACCCAGGAACACCTTCAGCTGGCTCGGGCGCTGGGGCCTCGGCCGTCCGGGCCTGGGTCACGTCCCGCCTCGGAAGGCCCCTCAGGCTCCCGACGTCCGTGTGAGGACCCTGACCACCCAACGGCTCGTGAGCAAAGGGTTAAGATCTTCTCGCCAGCCCGGCCAGCCGGGCGGCTCTGCGGCTGAGCATTGACCCAGGAGCCAGGAGGTCACGGTTCGATTCCCTGTCAGGGCCCAGGCCCAGGTTGTGGCCCGATCCCAGTGTGGGGTGTGCAGGAGGCAGCTGATCTATTGCCCTATCACATCAGTGTTTCTCTCTCTCTCTTTAAAATCAATAAACTATTTTAAAAACAAGTAACCATCTTTGCTCTCCGGCTCCGCACCCCGCCGTGCCTGATTTTCTCACACCACCGACCTCCCACCTGTCTGTTTAGGTGTGTTTGCCTCCCCCTGTATGTACATCTGTGCAGGCGAGCGAGTCTGTCCTGGCGCCTGGCATTCCTTCGCCTGGCGCTGGTGCAGGACACGCCTCAAGGAGGAACTGGGTGACCAGAAGCCGGGAGGGGGGAGGGGAGGCGCGCCCAGCATTCCTGAAAGCTCCAAACCTCCACGTAACGATTTGTCCACATTTCCTAGCTCCAAGCTGCACCCGTCTCCCCTGAGCACGACCTCCCTCCTGCACAGGCACCGCCTCTGTGGCCACCCCACCCCTCCTCGGCGAAGGTGTGAGTGTGGACAAGCCAGGCCACTTCAGGCCAGAGTGCTTTTCCCCAGGGACTCCACTTTGCAAACAAACTCAGGGTCCGCGTCATGGACGCTTATACACTCAAGGGCAAGATACGTGACAGCCGCGGAAGAAAATGCTATCTTTCCACGACTGATTCTTCGTAAGGTGAAGAGGAATAATCGCTTTTTGTAGCTGCACGCCTCACCTGCTGTGACTAAGAAAGCTGAGCTTATGCCAAGGAGCCAGTCCGATGCTTGTCAGCACCAACCTGAGACGGGGAACGCGGACTGCGGCCGAACAAAGGACGCACTATATGGTTTGCCGGCTCTGAAACCAGGCCCGGGACGGACAGTCTGCCCGAACGGGAGCCGCCGCCGTGGGGGCGTGTACTGCCCTCACCCGACGGCCCGTCTCACCGGGCGGCGGCCGAACCTGCGTATCTAACAGCCTTTGTCCTGCCCTGACCGGTGTGGCTCAGTGGACAGAGCCTCGACCTGCGGACTGAAGGGTCCCAGGTTCGATTCCGGTCAGGGACATGTATCTTTGTTGCAGGCACATCCCCAGTAGGGGGTGTGCAGGAGGCAGCTGATCGATGCTTCTCTCTCATCGATGTTTCTAACTCTCTCTCCCTCTCCCTTCCTCTCTGTAAAAAAAAAAAAAAATCAATAAAATATATTGAAAAATAAAAATAAAAGCCTTTGTCCCTCAGACACTCAAAGAGCAAAACAAACCACAGGCAGCCTCAACTCAAACCCGCACTTCCTCACGGGGGCTGGGGGTGGGGGGACACAACAGGTGTGATTACAAATGCTCCTCAGAGCAACATTGTGAGCAGGTGCGTTTGAAGCAATCTCGTGGGCAGGAGGCGCCAAGACGTCCCGATTTTTAACAATCTGTCCTGCGTCCTTCGGCGTTTTAAAAAGTCCCCAACGCCACGGGACGCGGAACAAACTTAAAAATCGGGACCGTCCTGCTAAAAGGAGGACATCTGGTCACCTTACCCAAGAGCCTTCTCTGCGTGTGCAGGGGACGGAGGACTTGGGTGGAATTCTAACGGGAAGGAAGCAGGAGGTGACCTCGTGGCCGTCCAGAGCTGGGAGGCCCAAGCGCTGGGGACCAGTCTCAGCTCCGGGGGAGACCTCGGGCCACGCTGGTCCTCACCCCCCACCCCATGCAAAACCGAGCCCGCGCCCCACGCCTGCGGCCGGCCCCGTGGGAGGCCCATGGCGGGCAGCCGCAGTGCGCACCTGTGGACAGCTGCGTGGGCAGCGGGTTCATCTCCTTGTCCACCATCTTCTGGTACAGAGCCCGCAGGCTGAACGGCTCCACGGTGAAGGGCAGGGTCCCGGTCAGCATGGCGTACATGTTCACGCCTCTGAGACAGCGAGAGCAGAGTGAGGCCCGGACAGCAGGACGAGGAGGGCGGGGCGGGGCGGCCTCCCTGTGCTGTCCATTTCCAGAACCTTCCGGAACCTCAGCCTCACACAGAAGCAGCTGTGGGCCGGGCACTGGATGGCCGCAGAGGTGTCTGCACCTCTAAGAGCTGCCCTAAGGCCCGGCCCCCGTGGCTCAGGTTAAGCATTGACCTAGGAACCGAGAGGCCGCGGTTCAATTCCCAGTCGGGACACAGGCCCGGGCTGTGGGCTCCATCCCCAGAGTGGGGCGTGCAGGAGGCAGCCCGTCCGTGACTCTGTCTCATCATTGATGTTTCTCTCTCCCCTTCTCCTTTCCTCTCTGAAATCAATAAAAATATATTTTTCATGCCGAAACCGTTGTGGCTCAGTGGATAGAGTGTCGGCCTGGGGACTGAAAGGTCCCAGGTTCGATTCCGGTCAAGGGCATGTGCATCCCCAGTGTGGGGTGTGCAGGAGGCAGCTGATCGATGTTTCTAACTCTCTATCCCTCTCCCTTCCTCTCTGCAAAAAAAAATCAATAAAATATATATTTTTTTTAAAAGAAAAAAAATATTTTTAGAAGGATCATCAGACACCTGTCCCAGAGCCTGCACTCGGAACGCTCTCATCACACCTCCAGCGTCGATCCCGAAGGGGGGCCCGCAGACCCGCCCCCGGAGGCGCTGGCTGCCGCAGGGACTCACATGGACCAGACGTCGATCTTGGGGCCGTACTTCTTCCGGGCCAGCAGCTCGGGCGCGGCGTAGGCGGGGCTGCCGCACTGCGTGCTGAACGGGTCCGAGTGGCCCAGGATCCCCGCACAGTTGCTCAGGCCGAAGTCTGCAACGGGGGCAGAACACGGGGTGTGAGGGGGACGGGAACGACGGCAGCGGGAGGGGAACCCTCCACCCCCGCCCAGCAGCTGCAGACCCCGCCGCCCCAGGCCTGTGCGCCCACCCCTGCCCCTCCGTCCGGGACACAGGCTGTGGTCCCAGGACCCGCGGGGGCACGGCCACGCCGGCCTGGCCACAGGGACCCGCCTCCGAGCGGCCACTGGGAAGCCGAGGGGCCGGGCTGCCGGGCTGGTGTCCGCGCGGCCCTGAGCGGCACGTCACCACCCAGAGCTGACTTTCGGCTGAATGCCTGCATTTCCTCAGCCTGCTGACAACGCCCCAGGGTGATGGGAAGGGGGGAGATACACCCCGAGACTCGGACGGCTGGGAGGGCGCTGCCAGAAAATGCCAGGAAGAGCCCTGAGAACGGCGGAGTGAGCACGGGTTTTAAAAAACGTTTTTATCACCGGGACCGGTGTGGCTCAGTGGATAGAGCGTCGGCTTGGGGACTGAAGGGCCCCGGGTTCGATTCCGGTCAAGGGCATGTACCTTGGCTGCGGGCATAACCCGTGGGGGGTGTGCAAGTGGCAGCTGATCGATGATTCTCTCTCATTGATGTTTCTAACTCTATCTCTCTCCCTTCCTCTCTGTACAAAAATCAATAAAATATACTTTTAAAAAAATGTTTTTATTGACCTCAGAGAGGAAGGGAGAGGGAAAGAAACATCCATGATGAGAAAGTTATGGACCACTGCCTCCTGCACGCCCCCCACTGGGGATAAAGCCTGCAACCCGGGCCTGTGCCTGACCAGGAATTGAACCCTGACCTCCAGGTTCACAGGTTCAACCACTGAGCCACCAGCTGGCAGAGCTTTGCTCTGGGATGACGGGCACCTGCTGGTACCAGTGCCGTCCTTGGGGCTGCGTTCACCTTTGACCTTAAAGGCAGGTATCGGCTGGCGAGCTGCCTTCTGCCACGTGGGTGCCTCGCCTCCGTCTCTGTTGGGCTCGGGATCCAGGTCCCGGCTCCTGCTTTGAACTCGGAGGGAACTATCCCGGCTCCCGCCCCGGGGAGGCCGGCAGCCCCGGGCTCGGAGGGACAGGGGCTGCGCTCGGAGGGCATGTTCCCATGGAGAGCGGAAAGGAGGCGGGAGGGGAGAGACACTCCATGTGAGAGAGGCGCATCGACCGGTTGCCTCCCACACGCCCTGACCAGGTCAGCGATCAAACTTGCCACCTAGGGACGTGCCCCGGGGCGGGAATCGGACCCGAGACCCTTCCGTGTGAGGGCCGATGCTCTAACCACTGCGCGGCCGGCCAGGGCTCGCTCGCGCTTCATTCGACCGGCAGGGCTTACACCTGTTCCCGCCATTTGTTGGTATTTCCTCCTTGACCTGACCACGTTCCCGCCCGCGGAGCGCGTGGCTATCGGTGCGGTGGGAAACGGGAGGCGCCCACGGACGAGTCCCGCCGCGGGGCTGTGCGGCAGGGATTTCCCGTCGGCGCAGAGCCCGGACGCTCTACAAGGTTCTGAGTCTCCAGCTCAGGGCTGGGGGTGAGAACCCGAACCCCACAGGACTGCGGGCCCTCCGAGACCTGTGCTCAGGCGTTACCTCCTCCTGTTTGTTTTTCCCTGGAACCCTCTGCCCCTCTGCTCCCGACTCCGCCCCATCATCTGGCCCAGGCCCAGCCAGCCCCTGCAGCCCCCCTCCCCTGGCCCAGGCCCCCTCCCCTGGCCCAGCCCCCCTCCCCTGGCCCAGCCCCCTTCACCTGGCCCAGCCAGCCCCTGCAGCCCCCCTCCCCTGGCCCAGGCCCCCTCCCCTGGCCCAGCCCCCCTCCCCTGGCCCAGCCCCCTTCACCTGGCCCAGCCAGCCCCTGCAGCCCCCCTCCCTGGCCCAGGCCCCCTCCCCTGGCCCAGCCCCCCTCCCCCGGCCCAGAACCCCCTCCCCTGGCCCAGCCCCTGTCCCCTGGCCCAGCCCCCACTCCCCAGGCCCAGCCCCCTTCACCTGGCCCAGCCAGCCCCTGCAGCCCCCCTCCCTGGCCCAGGCCCCCTCCCCTGGCCCAGCCCCCCTCCCCTGGCCCAGCCCCCTTCACCTGGCCCAGCCAGCCCCTGCAGCCCCCCTCCCTGGCCCAGCCCCCCTCCCCTGGCCCAGCCCCCTTCACCTGGCCCAGCCCCCCTCCCCTGGCCCAGCCCCCCTCCCCTGGCCCAGCCCCCCTCCCCTGGCCCAGCCCCCTTCACCTGGCCCAGCCCCCTTCACCTGGCCCAGCCAGCCCCTGCAGCCCCCCTCCCTGGCCCAGGCCCCCTCCCCTGGCCCAGCCCCCCTCCCCCGGCCCAGAACCCCCTCCCCCAGCCCAGCCCCTGTCCCCTGGCCCAGCCCCCACTCCCCAGGCCCATAACCCCCTCACCCAGCCAGAACCCCCTCCCCCGGCCCAGGCCCCTCTCACCTGGCCCAGGCCCCTTCCCCCAGCCCAGACCCCTTACCCGGCCCAGGCCCCTCTCCCAGGGCCCAGGCCCCCCGGAGCAGATTCGGATGTGGGAGGAGACCTGCTCGCAGGGCCTGAGGCTGCCCGGCCCAGTCCTGCAGGGCCCTGAGGGGCAGACGGGGGAGAAAAGTCACCCTGAGCTCCACACGGAATTGCTTTCCGTCTGAAAACCAGCCTGAGGGCCCGGCCGGACAGTGTGGATCAGTGGTTGGGCTGCACTGTTGAGGAGGTCAGGGCTGGATTCCTAGTCAGGGCGCAGGCCCGGGTTGTGGGCTCCCTCCCCAGTGTGGGGAGGGCAGGAGGCAGCCGGTCCATGACTCTCTCTCCTCATGGATGTTTCTTTCTATCTCTCCCTTCCTCTCTGAAATCAATAAAAAAAATTTCCCCCAAAAAGCAGAGAAGGGAGGCTGGTTCGGCGGTTCCGGTGGCGGCGTTCACTGACAAGAGGAGCCAGCACAGCCAAGCCACGGCAGCACCCCGAACCAGACAACCCCTCCCCTTACGAGGCCTCAGGGCCACTCAGAATAAAGACAACCCATAAGAGTCCGGCTCCGCCTGACTCGTGCCGAAGCTGACGCCACAATCGTGTAATCCTGCGATTACTGGGGCTGTGACGTTCGTTACGGCCACTCACAGCTCGCTGCCTTCCTGGTTATGTTAAACCAGAGGCTGGTCCGTGACATCATGCACAGGTGGGTCCCTCGACCTGGCCGGCAATGGGAGCCGTCTGGGGGCCGGCTGGCGGGGGGGAGGGGGCGTGGGAGGTTTGCTGGCCGCTGGCCGCAGGAGGTTGGCTGTGGGAGTGCACTGACCACCAGGGGGCAGGGGCAGCTTCTGCATTGAGTGCCTGCCCCCTGGTGGTCAGTGCGCATCATAGCAACCGGTCAACTGGTCGTTCATTGACTGGTGGTAACAGTTGCTTAGGCTTTTATATACATAGCTTATTTTTAAAACTCATCTTCCTGTCAAAGCCATGCTTCACTGTCGAAGGCAGAGACAACAGTGTAGGACTGTCCAGGGACCAGAATAGACCGGAGTCCATGTCTCCGTCAGGAATCCAGGAATGGACCAGTGGCCACGGACAGCACAATACGCAAAGGATGACCACACCACACTCAGAAACCAGACCCATACCGATCACCACACTCAGGAATCAGACCCATACCGATCACCACACTCAAATCAGAGCTGCATACTGATCACCACACTCAGAAACCAGACCCGTACCGATCACCACACTCAGCGCAGAGCCGTACCGATCAGCTTGATGTTATTGTCCTCGTCCAGCAGCAAGTTCTCGATCTTCAGGTCTCTGGAAGGACAGCAGCAACAACGTCAGCCGTGCTGGAAGCGGCGGAACCGCCCGCCCCCCTGCCCCCGTGGGAGGGGCTGAGCCACGGGGGCCGCCCCCAGCGTTCCCTGGGACTCGCAATCCCAAGTGCCTGCAATGGACCTATTATACTATGGGGGCGGTGGACCTGCTATGGGGGCGACGGGCCTGCTATGGGGGCGACGGACCTGCTATGGGGGTGACGGACCTGCTATGGGGGCGGTGGACCTACTATAGACCAGACTGTGCACGCTTCCACACAGGTCACGGGCACCGGGCCAGACTGTGCACGCTTCCACACAGGTCACGGGCACCACCGAGACTGTGCACGCTTCCACACAGGTCACGGGCACCGGGCCAGACTGTGCACGCTTCCACACAGGTCACGGGCACCGCCCAGGCTGTGCACGCTTCCACACAGATCACGGGCACTGCCCAGGCTGTGCACGCTTCCACACAGGTCACGGGCACTGCCCAGGCTGTGCACGCTTCCACACAGGTCACGGGCACTGCCCAGGCTGTGCACGCTTCCACACAGGTCACGGGCACCGCCCAGGCTGTGCACGCTTCCATACAGATCACGGGCACGGGGCCAGACTGTGCACGCTTCCACACAGATCACGGGCACCGCCCAGGCTGTGCACGCTTCCACACAGGTCACGGGCACTGCCCAGGCTGTGCACGCTTCCACACAGGTCACGGGCACCGCCCAGGCTGTGCACGCTTCCATACAGATCACGGGCACGGGGCCAGACTGTGCACGCTTCCACACAGATCATGGGCACCGGGCCAGACTGTGCACGCTTCTACACAGGTCACGGGCACCGGGCCAGACTGTGCACGCTTCCACACAGGTCACGGGCACTGCCCAGGCTGTGCACGCTTCCACACAGGTCACGGGCACCGCCCAGGCTGTGCACGCTTCCATACAGATCACGGGCACGGGGCCAGACTGTGCACGCTTCCACACAGATCACGGGCACCGGGCCAGACTGTGCACGCTTCTACACAGATCACGGGCACCGCCCAGGCTGTGCACGCTTCCACACAGATCACAGACACCACCCAGGCTGTGCACGCTTCCACACAGATCACGGGCACCGGGCCAGACTGTGCACACTTCCACACAGGTCACGGGCACCGCCCAGGTTGTGCACGCTTCCACACAGATCACGGGCACCGCCCAGGCTGTTGCACGCTTCCACACAGATCACGGGCACTGCCCAGGCTGTGCACGCTTCCACACAGGTCACGGGCACTGGGCCAGACTGTGCACGCTTCCACACAGGTCATGGGCACCGGGCCAGACTGTGCACGCTTCCACACAGATCACGGGCACTGCCCAGACTGTGCATGCTTCCACACAGATCACGGGCACTGCCCAGACTGTGCACGCTTCCACACAGATCTCAGACACCGCCCAGGCTGTACACGCTTCCACACAGATCACGGGCACTGCCCAGACTGTGCACGCTTCCACACAGATCACGGGCACCGCCCAGGCTGTGCACGCTTCCACACAGATCACGGGCACCGGGCCAGACTGTGCATGCTTCCACACAGGTCACGGGCACCGCCCAGGTTGTGCACGCTTCCACACAGGTCACGGGCACCGGGCCAGACTGTGCACACTTCCACACAGGTCACGGGCACCGCCCAGGTTGTGCACGCTTCCACACAGATCACGGGCACCGCCCAGGCTGTTGCACGCTTCCACACAGATCACGGGCACTGCCCAGGCTGTGCACGCTTCCACACAGGTCACGGGCACTGGGCCAGACTGTGCACGCTTCCACACAGGTCATGGGCACCGGGCCAGACTGTGCACGCTTCCACACAGATCACGGGCACTGCCCAGACTGTGCATGCTTCCACACAGATCACGGGCACTGCCCAGACTGTGCACGCTTCCACACAGATCTCAGACACCGCCCAGGCTGTACACGCTTCCACACAGATCACGGGCACTGCCCAGACTGTGCACGCTTCCACACAGATCACGGGCACCGCCCAGGCTGTGCACGCTTCCACACAGATCACGGGCACCGGGCCAGACTGTGCATGCTTCCACACAGGTCACGGGCACCGCCCAGGTTGTGCACGCTTCCACACAGGTCACGGGCACCGGGCCAGACTGTGCACGCTTCCACACAGATCACGGGCACCGCCCAGGCTCTGCACGCTTCCACACAGGTCACAGGCTTACATGTCGATGACTATGTTCCAAGCTTTCCCCACACATGAACTCATCGCCGTCTACACGTTACTCCTCACGTGCACCATGCACTGAGCATCACTGTTCCCGTTTCATAGAAGAAGAGACGGAGGGTCAGAGTGGTAACGCCCCGTCAGCCGGGGGCCCCCAAGGACGAAGGGGCAGCGCCAGGCTGCAAGCCGGGCCCTGCGCCTTCGGACCCGGCGCACAGACAGCGGGCCGCCCGGCCGCCCTCACCGGTGCACAACGCCGGCCCGGTGCAGGTGCTCCACGGCGGAGACCAGCTGCCGGATGTAGCGGCGCGCCTCAGCCTCCTCCAGCCGCTTCTTCTCGTGGATGCGGTGCAGGAGGCTGCCGCCGGGGCACAGCTCCATGACCAGGTAGTAGCTGCTTCCTGTCTCCAGGATGTCCAGCAGCTGCGTGATGTTGGGATGACGGATCATCTGCTGGATCTGGCCCTCGCGCCGCAGGTTCTTGGTGACGTACGTGTCCTTCTGGGCCCTCTTCTTGTCGATGACCTTGATGGCCACCTGGGGGGACACAGAGCAAGGAAAAGGTCACCCCTGGCCGCTCACGGGCACCCAGGGCCACCCAGGGCCGCCTGCTGCCCAGGACAGGACCGTGGACTAAGAGAGCACGGGACGGGGGGGGGGGGGGGGGCGCGCAACCTCAGCAAAGACCAGAAGATCGCGACCTTTTCATGGGGGAGACAGACTGATGTGAGAGACACGTGGACTGGCTTCCTCCCGCACATACTCTGGCCAGGGCCAGGGCCAGGACCCTGCAACCAAGGGCCGCGCCCTGGACCGGAATCGAACCCGGAACCCTTCAGTCCTGGGCGCACTAACGCTGCTGTGTCCGCAGCAGGGAAGACGGCTCTGCCCCCGCCCCTGCCCTTGCCCACCGAGAGCCGTCCGTCAGGCGCCAGGCGCCGAGCACCGTTTCTCTCCATAACCAGACGGGCTCCGGTCCGCCAGGCTCCTGGGGCGCGGTAATCTAAAGGCAGACCCCAACCTGGTGGGCCCAGTGGACCCCAAACACGGCCCGTGGCACAGGCAGCAACGGCAAAGCACAGGCCACACACACTCTGGCCCGGAGAGGCACTGGCCTGCCGGGCCCGCGGTCCCTCCCTCCATGCCCATCCTGCCAGCAGCCCACCGAGTGTGGCGCCAGGCAGCCCTGGGCCGTGGCCGGAGCCCAGGGGGGGCCGGGGGGGGGGTGCTGAGAGAAAGCCAGGCCGCGGCGACCTGATGGATTCCAGCCGCCCGGAGAGCCGGTCGCTCCGTTACCATGAGCAATGGGGACGGGTGTCTCTTCCCAGGTACATGACACTGGCCCCCTCACCCCCCAGAGGGCCCCGGCCCCCCATCTCCGGGGCGGACACAGCCACCTCCCGCCTTTGGGGTGACCTCCGGGAGGGTGACGCCACCGGCTCTGGCACCTCCTGTGCGGGGCCACACGGGCCGAGCACCCCGGTGGTCCTCCCGTCCGCGGGCAGCACCCGGCACCCTCTGAGGTCCGAGGCCAGGCTGCTGCTGAGCACTGAGAGCCCCCGCGACGGGCAGTGCCCACCCGGTCACTCACAAGCACTTCGGGGGGCGGGGGCGTGGCCCGGAGCCGGCCGAGGGCTGACGGGACCCCGTTCTCTGCACAGGTGTCCCTCCCAGAGCTGGGCCCCGCAGTTCTAGCATCCACAATACCAATAACACTGCGGGCTGAGCACCTGCTTGTCCGGAAACACTGGCTGACACAGCTCTGCCCGAGGTCCCGCACGATGAGTCGTGCTTCGTGCTGGGCTGAGGGGTATTTTTAGAAACGCCACGCAGGTAACGGTGGCGGGAGCCACTCACGCCGTTAGCAACTCACTCAGCAGCCGCTGTTATTTTTAGCCCCCACGCAGCTCGCTCCGATGGCAGCGATAAACAGGCTGCTTTAACCGAAGGCTCGAACAAAACCTATCAGCACCTTCGCCGATCAGGCCCCTCACCCACCGGCGCTCAGAGCCCGTCCTGGAGCGGTAACGGCCCGGCTGAGCTCCGCCTGATGCACCCCCTCCGCCCTGAGCCCTCCGGACCACATTGCGTCAGTTCCTTTTAAACGTGCCGGCAGCTCTGCTGGGGGGCAGGTTCAGCTCCCCGTCAGGGCTCACACCTGGCTGTGGGTTCGATCCCTGGTCGGGATGTGAACTGGAGGCAACTCATCAATGTTCCGCTCTCACATCAATGTTTCTCTCTCTCCCTCTCTCTCTCCAGTCACTGAAAACAGATCTCGGATGACTATGTCCTAATCGCCCCAGAACTGCATCCGGCGGCCCCGGAGCCGTGGCAGGGCAGGGGCACAGCCCCTCTGGGTCTCACAGTCATCACACGATCCTCCTGCTCCGCACCTGGGCCCTGGGTCTCAAAGCCACAGAGGAGACTTTTCAAAATCTGACTTTCTGACCCTTTTCCCTCCTCCGGTCACCAACCCGGGCTCAGCCTGGCGGAGACCTGCCTATTAGGAGGGTCACGTGGCGAGCGAACTCCTGTGTTACAGCCGTTAGCAGAGCGCTTCACTGCAGAGCAGAGGACAAACCTGCCGGCCACGGCCACGGGCCACGGCCACGGGCCACGGGCTCCTTTCCCTCCATTCCTCTCCCAGCCCGGGGCCCTCCAGCTCAGGGCTCCCAGGAGCAGCTGCTCCGGCAGAGCCCGGTCCCGCAGGCAGCGGGGAACCGGCCTCCTGACTGCGGAGGTGAGGCTGGAGCCTCCGTGAAGGCCAGAAAAGCGGCCGCTTGTCACCTGGACCAGCAATTCCCACAGCCATGGGGGATGCCGCTGTCTTTTTAAACCGGCGCTAAGTTCACACACTCACACACTCTCACACACACACACACACACACACACACACACACAAACACACACACACAAACACACACACTCTCACACACACACAAACACACACACACACTCACACACACACACTTTTCACACACTCACACACACACTTTTCACACACTCACACACACACACACAAACACACACACACAAACACACACACTCGCACACACACACTTTTCACACACTCACACACACTCACACACACACACTTTTCACACACACACACACACTTTTCACACACTCACACACACACACACACAAACACACATACACACTCACACACACACACTTTTCACACACTCACACACACACTTTTCACACACTCACACACACACACACACAAACACACACACTCGCACACACACACTTTTCACACACTCACACACACACACTTTTCACACACTCACACACACACACACAAACACACACACACTCACACACACACTTTTCACACATACACATACACTTTTCACACACTCACACACACACAAACACACACACACTCACACACACACACTTTTCACACACTCACACACACACAAACACACACACACACTCACACACACACAAACACACACACACACACACTTTTCACACACACTCACACACACACAAACACACACACACACACTCACACACAGTCATACACACACAATCTCTCCTTCCCCCTCCAACGTTCTGTCCGGGATCCTGTCGGGGTGGCCGGGGCCCACCTATTTCTTACTGCAGTGTCCACAGCATTCTTCCTCTCCCACTAAGTCTGTGTCCGTGAGAAAAGGAAGGGAGAAGCACACCCGCTTGGGGCGAGAGGCCACCTTGGGGGACACTTCTCTCCCTTCCTCAGGTTCCATCACTCAAGGCCCCCCCTGCACGGCTCATCTGAGCAGCCCTCCTCCCGGGGAAACCCTTAACAGCTCACCTTCAGAAAATTTTTTTAAAAAATATATATACATGCATATACATAAATACACACACACACATATATAATGACTTCAGAGAGTGAGCAAGGGAGAGGGAAACATCAATGATGAGAGAGAATCATTGATCGGCTGCCTCCTGCCCGCAGTCCCCCCCCCCCCCCCCGGGGACCGAGCCCGCAATCCTGGGCATCAAACCATGACCTCCAGGTTCATAGGTCGACGCTCAATGCCTGAGCCGGCCGGCCGGGCACAGCTCACCTTTTAGAGACTGAAAGGCTGCAGGTACGTGAGGGTGACTCTGTCTTGGCCTCAAGGAGACCACACCCCAATGGGAGGGATGGGGGGTGTCTCGTGAACTGGGGCTCCTTGGGGCAGAGCCAGGGAGAGAGAGAGACACACACACACACACACACACACACACACACACACACACACACACGAGCATTCCCATCTCCGCCGCCTCCCAGCCCCTGCTCCTCGGGCACCAGAGGTGCTGGAGTGCTGGACGGGAGAGCAGGCTGAGCCACACCCACTGCTCCTGGCCAGCTGGCAATTACGGAGCGCGACCCAGTTTCTCACGGTTCTCAGCTGGAGAAGAGCCGGCAGGGAACTCGGGGAACTCGCGGCCTCCACTTACGCCCTGAGCACCTGCCCCTCACCGATCGACCTCCCGGTCCTGATTCCGCAGCCGCCCCCAGGCATGCCAGTGTGCCCCGCTGAGCCCTGAGTGCCAACAGCCCAGGCCATGGAGCAAACCACCCCAGGGAGGAGCGGGCGCCACGACAGACCCGCCAACACCGGGGAAGGGGAGAGGCTGAGGCAGCCGGCCCCAGGGAGGTCAGGTGCCGGACCTCGGCCTTGCCGCCCCCATACAGCCTCTCCCCTCACCACGTTTCACGCAGAAACTACAAAGCAGCTGAGCCCTGCAGTTTGGAACAGCCTCTCCCCTCACCACGTTTCACGCAGAAACTACACAAGCAGCCGAGCCCTGCAGTTTGGAACAAGAATGAGGTTCCTTCTCCCTCCCTGGCCCACAGGAGCTCACACAGCAGGACAGGCAGTGAGCCTGGGGCTGGGCCAGGCCTGGGCCCCTCGGCCCCGGGAGGGAGCAGTCCGGGCGGGAACCCACCTGCGACTGGGCCCTGCTGCCCCGGGGCCAGAGCAAGTTTCACTGGGACGGCGCCTCCTTTGAAGGCTGCTCCCGCTCTGCACGGAAATTCCAGCGAGAGGCACAGCGAGGACTCCCTGCCCGCTCCCCTCCCTCCCTTCCCTCCCCTCCCTCCCCTCCCTCCGCCGGCACAAAGGCTGGAGGAGCCGGGCGGGAGGCCAGGGAGGCCGCTCAGTGCAGGGTTCCCGGGCACAGTGGGGGCCGGGAGGGAGGCCAGGGAGGGAGCTCCCCCACAGCACCCCGGGCCCCGGCACAGCACCCTGGACCCCCGCACAGCACCCCAGGCTCCCCCACAGCACCCCGGGCCCCCGCACAGCACCCCAGGCTCCCCCACAGCACCCCGGGCTCCCCCACAGCACCCCGGGCCCCCCACAGCACCCCGGGCTCCCCCACAGCACCCCGGGCCCCGGCACAGCAGCCCGGGCCCCGGCACAGCACCCCGGGCCCCGGCACAGCACCCCGGGCCCCGGCACAGCACCCGGGGCCCCCGCACAGCACCCCGGGCTCCCGAACCCAGGTCCGAGGCGGGAAGGCGGTAGGGAGCCCAAACACCTCGCCCTCCGTCCCCCCACACGGCCGCCTCTGGGCGCGGGGCCGCGGCAGCGCCCACCCAGCCCGGGGGCCCGGCGGGAGGCCGGAGCGGGACGAGCATCGCGGGGTGTGGGGGGGGTGGGGGCGGAGGACCTGAGGCATCGCGGGGGGGGGGGCGGCCTCGCCTCGGGGTGGCCGGGCTGCGCCTCCGGAGTCACCACAATCTCCGCTCTTCCCGTCCAGGTGACACTCAGGCCCGCGGCCCCCGGCGGGAGTTCACAGCGACTCCCTCCGCCGGGGCCCGGGCGGGGGCCTCCTCCCCCGCAGAAGCAGGGCGCCCCAGCCCCGCACCCGGTGCCGGCGGAGCGGGGAGGCGGGCCCGGGCGGGAAAACTTCGCCGCCGCCGGCAGGTGGAGCCCCCGCCTTCCCCGGGGCCCGGGCTCTGGGTCCCCAAAGGCGGGCCGGTCGCCGCTGCCCCCCGGAGCCCCCCGGAGCCCCCCGGAGCCCCCCGGAGCCCCCCGGCAGCCCCGCCCGGGAGCCCCGCCCGCGCCCGCGCCGCGCGGCTCACCTTCTCGCCGGTCGGCACGTGCAGGCCCTCGCGCACCTTGGCGAAGGAGCCCTCGCCCAGCTTGCGGCTGCCCAGCAGGTAGGGGCCCACGCGCTTGTGGTGCTGGAAGCCCCGCGGCCGCCCGCCCGCCCCGCCGCCCGCCCGGGCCGCGTCCCCGCCCGGCAGCCCGGGCCCCGCCGCCACGGCCGCCGGCATCCTCCGCGCTCCCGCTCCGCTCCGCTCCGCTCCTCCCGCCGCCGGCCCGCGGCCCGGCCCCGGCCCCTCCCGCCGCCCCGGCCCCTCCTCCGGCCCCGGCCCCTCCCGCCGCCCCGGCCCCTCCCGCCGCCCCGGCCCCTCCTCCGGCCCCGGCCCCTCCCGCCGCCCCGGCCCCTCCTCCGGCCCCGCCGCCGGCCGCCGCCCCGGCCCCTCCTCCGGCCCCGCTGCCCGGCCCCGGCCCCTCCCGCCGCCCCGGCCCCTCCTCCGGCCCCGGCCCCTCCCGCCGCCCCGGCCCCTCCTCCGGCCCCGGCCCCTCCCGCCGCCCCGGCCCCTCCTCCGGCCCCGGCCCCTCCCGCCGCCCCGGCCCCGCCGCCGGCCCCGCCGCCGGCCGCCGAGCGCGCAGACAATAGCGGCGCCGGGCCCGCCCCAACAAGTTGCGCCCCGAGGCCGCCCCCTGGCCGCGCCCCGCCCCGTGCTGCCCGGCGGGGCCGCCGCTCAGGCTGGGGGAGCGGCGGGGGCGGCCCCGTGCCCGGTCCCCGGTCCCGGTCCCCGATCCCGGCGCCGGCGCCGCAGCCTCCGCCCCGCCCGCCGGCCCGCGCTCCTGACCGGGCTGGGGGGCTCCTGGCTGAGCTGGGGGGCTCCTGGCCGGGCTGGGGGCTCCTGGCTGGGCTGGGGGGCTCCTGGCCGGGCTGGGGGCCTCCTGGCTGAGCTGGGGGGCTCCTGGCCGGGCTGGGGGCCTCCTGGCTGAGCTGGGGGGCTCCTGGCCGGGCTGGGGGGCTCCTGGCTGGGCTGCTGGCCGGGCTGGGGGCTGGGGGGCTCCTGGCTGGGCTGGGGGCTGGGGGGCTCCTGGCCGGGCTGGGGGGCTCCTGGCCGGGCTGGGGGCCTCCTGGCCGGGCTGGGGGGCTCCTGGCCGGGCTGGGGGCCTCCTGGCTGAGCTGGGGGGCTCCTGGCCGGGCTGGGGGCTCCTGGCCGGGCTGGGGGCTCCTGGCCGGGCTGGGGGCTCCTGGCCGGGCTGGGGGGCTCCTGGCTGAGCTGGGGGGCTCCTGGCCGGGCTGGGGGCTCCTGGCCGGGCTGGGGGCTCCTGGCCGGGCTGGGGGCTGGGGGGCTCCTGGCTGGGCTGGGGGCTCCTGGCCGGGCTGGGGGGCTCCTGGCCGGGCTGGGGGCTCCTGGCCGGGCTGGGGGGCTCCTGGCTGAGCTGGGGGGCTCCTGGCCGGGCTGGGGGCTCCTGGCCGGGCTGGGGGCTGGGGGGCTCCTGGCCGGGCTGGGGGCCTCCTGGCTGGGCTGGGGGGCTCCTGGCCGGGCTGGGGGCCTCCTGGCTGAGCTGGGGGGCTCCTGGCCGGGCTGGGGGCTCCTGGCTGGGCTGCTGGCCGGGCTGGGGGCTGGGGGGCTCCTGGCTGGGCTGCTGGCCGGGCTGGGGGCTGGGGGGCTCCTGGCCGGGCTGGGGGCTGGGGGGCTCCTGGCCGGGCTGGGGGCCTCCTGGCTGGGCTGGGGGCTGGGGGCTGGGGGCTGGGGGCCTCCTGGCCGGGCTCGGGGGCTCCTGGCCGGGCTGGGGGCTCCTGGCCGGGCTGGGGGCTGGGGGGCTCCTGGCCGGGCTGGGGGCTTCTGGCCGGGCTGGGGGGCTCCTGGCCGGGCTGGGGGGCTCCTGGCCGGGCTGGGGGCCTCCTGGCTGGGCTGGGGGCTGGGGGCTGGGGGCTGGGGGCCTCCTGGCCGGGCTCGGGGGCTCCTGGCCGGGCTGGGGGCTCCTGGCCGGGCTGGGGGCTGGGGGGCTCCTGGCCGGGCTGGGGGCTCCTGGCCGGGCTGGGGGGCTCCTGGCCGGGCTGGGGGCTCCTGGCCGGGCTGGGGGCTGGGGGGCTCCTGGCTGGGCTGGGGGCTCCTGGCCGGGCTGGGGGGCTCCTGGCCGGGCTGGGGGCTCCTGGCCGGGCTGGGGGGCTCCTGGCTGAGCTGGGGGGCTCCTGGCCGGGCTGGGGGCTCCTGGCCGGGCTGGGGGCTGGGGGGCTCCTGGCCGGGCTGGGGGCCTCCTGGCTGGGCTGGGGGGCTCCTGGCCGGGCTGGGGGCCTCCTGGCTGAGCTGGGGGGCTCCTGGCCGGGCTGGGGGCTCCTGGCTGGGCTGCTGGCCGGGCTGGGGGCTGGGGGGCTCCTGGCTGGGCTGCTGGCCGGGCTGGGGGCTGGGGGGCTCCTGGCCGGGCTGGGGGCTGGGGGGCTCCTGGCCGGGCTGGGGGCCTCCTGGCTGGGCTGGGGGCTGGGGGCTGGGGGCTGGGGGCCTCCTGGCCGGGCTCGGGGGCTCCTGGCCGGGCTGGGGGCTCCTGGCCGGGCTGGGGGCTGGGGGGCTCCTGGCCGGGCTGGGGGCTTCTGGCCGGGCTGGGGGGCTCCTGGCCGGGCTGGGGGGCTCCTGGCCGGGCTTGGGGCTGGGGGGCTCCTGGCCGGGCTGGGGGCCTCCTGGCTGGGCTGGGGGCTGGGGGCTGGGGGCTGGGGGCCTCCTGGCCGGGCTCGGGGGCTCCTGGCCGGGCTGGGGGCTCCTGGCCGGGCTGGGGGCTGGGGGGCTCCTGGCCGGGCTGGGGGCTTCTGGCCGGGCTGGGGGGCTCCTGGCCGGGCTGGGGGGCTCCTGGCCGGGCTTGGGGCTGGGGGTCTCCTGGCCGGGCTGGGGGTGGGGGGGGCTCCTGGCTGGGCTGGGGGCTGGGGGGCTCCTGGCCGGGCTTGGGGCTGGGGGTCTCCGGCTGGGCTGGGGGCTGGGGGCTCCTGGCCGGGCTGGGGGGCTCCTGGCCGGGCTGGGGGCGGGGGGGCTCCTGGCTGGGCTGGGGGCTGGGTGGCTCCTGGCCGGGCTGCAGGGTCCCCCCAGTGGCCGCGGAGGTGCCCGGTTCGGCCGGATTGGCCTAAACTCGACCCAGGCCAGAGCGCGTGCAAACCATCGAAGCCCCGCCTTCCCCGCCCGCAGCCGGGAGGGAGGGAGGGGGGAGGGAGGGGGAGGGGGAGGGAGGGAGGGGGAGGAGAGAGGAGGGAGGGAGAGGGGAGGGAGGAGGGAGGGGGGAGGGAGAGAGGAGGGAGGGAGGGGGGAGGGAGGAGGGAGGAGGGACTGGGAGAGCGGGGGCGGCGGCGGACGGTAGGCCCCGGGGCCGGCGGAGGGGCGGAGGGACCGGTGGGGGCGGGCGGAGAGGAGGCGCCGCGGCCCGGATCGCACAGGCCGGACGGGGAGGGGCCGGGCCCGCAGCGCCGCCCGCGGTTCCCCTCCGCCTCCCGCCGCCGGCGCCCGGCTCCCTCTCCCTCCGGAGGCTTCGTCCCGCCCCGCCGCTCCCCGCGCCGCAGCCCTGACACTGCGTCTTCCCGGCTCCCCTCCGCCTCGGACCCAGCACCGGCGCCTCCGCAGAGGCCGGAGGGGGGAGGCGCTCACCGAGGCGACCTGTTGAGCCCGAGGAACGGCGCCCGCCCTCCGCAGCCCGAGCCCCGCGCCCCGCACCGGCCGCCGGGGGCCTGGCCTGGCCCGGCTGCCTCCGACCCCCCCCACCCCCCGCCAACCCGTCTGACCCCCAGCAAACCGGTCTGACCCCCAGCAGACCAGTCTGACCCCCAGCAAACCGGTCTGACCCCCAGCGAACCAGTCTGGCTCTGATCCGTGCTCTGAAATGGGGGGTGGGGACCGCTGTCACTGATCCAGGGCCTGGGGCTCTCCGCCGCCCCAAAATGGCCAGGGGAACTTGGAGAAACATCTGTCTTAAGTGGCACCTGTACTCAGCCACCGGCCCTGTGTGGCTGAGCGGGTCTTTTTAAATGTGTTTGTATTGTTTCAGAGAGGAAGGCAGGCGGAGAGAGAGATGGAAACATCCATAATGAGAAAGAGTCCTGGGCTGCCTCCTGCACGCCCCGCACTGGGCCCTTGGCCGGAATTGAACCTGGGACCCTTCAAGTCCACAAGCTGATGTTCTATCCACCGAGCCAAGCCGGCTAGGCCAGTGGTCGGCAAACTCATTAGTCAAAGAGCCAAATATCAACAGCACAACGATTGAAATTTGTTCTGAGAGCGAAAACCAACGTCTGCGCATGGGCCACGAAGTTTCCGTCCCATTGCACATGCGTACCCACACGTGGCATTTTGTGGAAGAGCCACATTCAAGGGGCCAAAGAGCCACATGTGGCTCAAAAGCCGCAGTTGGATGACCACTGCTCTAATTCATCACTTTTTTTTGTTGTGGTTTTGTGTTTTTTGTGGTTGTTAAACCTCACTCAGTGATATTTTTGATTTTTTAACTCTTTATTGTTGAAAGTGTTACATATGTCTCCTTTTCCCCCATTGACATATCCAAGACACTCCACCCCCCAGCTCATGCCCTCGCCCCCTAGTGTCTGTGTCCGTTGGTTATGCTCATATGCCTGCACACAAGTCCTGGGGTTGATCTCTTATCTCCCCCCAATGATATTTTCCATTGACTTTTAGGGAGAGTTGAAAGAGAGGGTAAGACAGAGAGAAACATCGATGGTTTTAGAAACACATCGATTAGGTATCTCTCCCAGGAGCCCCTACCACGGCCCCAGCTGGAGAGGAGCCTGCAACCAAGGAACACGCCCTTGACCGGAATCAAACCTGGGACCCTTCAGTCCGCAGGCCGACGCTCTACCACTGAGCCAAACCGGTTTCGGCAATCAGTCATCACAGTTTTAAGAGGACAGTGACTTGGGGGGACGGGACCGTTCTCTAACTATGAGGCTTATGGCGCTCATGGTCTTCGTTCAGAAACGCTGTGGGTGCCTGGCTGGTGTGCAGGGGCTGAGTGTCGACCCATGGACCAGGAGGTCTGTTCAATCCCCCGCCAGGGCACAGGCCCCGGTTGCATGCTTGAGCCCCAGTAGGGGGCTTTCAGGCGGCAGCCGATCCGTGGTTATGTTTCTTTCTCTCTCTCTTTCTCTTTCTGAAATCAATTTAAAAAAAATTTTTTTTAAAGAAAAGCTTTGGGCACCTGCCAATGTCGTATTAATCGAGTGTGATTTATTTTTTTAATTCAGGACATTCGC